GAGGTCCCTGTCCCTTGCTCGGTCCCTGTCCCCTGCAGTGTCCCCACCAGCAGTGCTGGGGCTGGACAGGCCATCAGGCTGGAGATGGTCACCATTACTGGAGCCCTCTGGCCTTGCTGGGTCACTGCTGGTGGCACTTTGCTTCCTTCCTTCCAGGTGTTCCTGGAGAATGTGCAGCACGAGGACGCCTTTGTGTACCTCTCAGCCATCCAAGGTGAGCAGTGCCTGTCCGGGCGAGTGCCAGCCCTTTGTCAGGGAGGGTTTGTGCTGTGCCCTGGGAGTGGAGAGCAGCAGAGCCATGGCCAGGCTGAGGGCTGGGCATCTCCTGCCCTCCCAGGTTGTGGCTTTGTGCTGTTCCCTCAAGCCTGGGGCCACACGTGGGCTCTATGCCGAGTTCCTGAAGCTGGAGACTTCATCTCCCAGTTATTCTTACTCCCTGGAGCTGGTCTGTGCCAGGTCTGTGCCACAGGCTGGGGCTGCAGTTCCAGTGCAGCGTGGGCACAGCCCCAGCACCCACGGAGGGGTCTGTTCAGCTGAGGCTGGCACAGGACCAGGACGTGGGGCACCCACTGGTGCTCCCTCAGGGCTCTGCCAAGGTGGCAGCTGCTGAGTACTCACAGCCCTTCCTAGGAAACCCTCAGGTCAGTGCTTGCCCCAGCACGCTCGGCACAGCCCCACAGCTCTGGCTGCCCGTGGGATTGCAGGCAGGTGTTTCTGCAGCGGTGCCTGCGTGTGCCCTGTGTGACACTGCATGGTCACAGCGCCCTGGGCTCCGTGCAGGGGATGTGTGCCATGCCCCGGGCCTGCAGCCACGCTGGCACCGCTGCCGTGGGGTCGGTAACCTTTGGCAGCAGCTGGGAAAGGAGCTCATGCCGTGCTTCCCCTGCCTGTACGGTCTTGAGAGCGCCGGGCCTGTCCTTGCCCGGGGCTGCAGCACAAAGGCTGTAACGTGCAGTGATTAACACGCTGCAGCTGCCATGATTAACCCTGGTGGGTTCCTGCAGCACTGACTCACCGGCACCTGTGCCCTGCCGAGCCGTGCCGTGCCAAGCACAGGCCTGGGGGCTGTGCCAGATGGGTCCCCATATCCCACTTGCTCCCTGGCACAGCAGCAGGGCTGAGCCAGGGGTTGTGGCACCGCTGGGTTTCACAGAGCCAGACTCCAGTGGTGTATTCCTGATGTGCTGGACATCACACCTGCAATCCTGGGGTCAGTTTTGGGCCCCTCATGACGAGACAGTCATTGAGGGGCTGGAGTGTGTTCAGGGGAGGGCATTGGAGCTGGAGAAGGATCTGATCCCTGCATCTGGGATCTGATCTCTCATCAGTCCCTGGGAGATGCAGCGGGCAAGCAGCACACACTGCCTTCTGCTCCCAGTCTGGGCCAGGTAAATGCAGGAGGGACAGAGACACACTGGCACCGTGTGCTGATGGCCAAGAGTTGGGAGCAGTGACCAGACCCTGTGCCAAGCATTGGCTGCCGTGCCCATCAGGTCCTCACTGGTCAAAGGGCATACCCAGCAGCAGGGAGTGAACACCTGCTGCCAGCTGCTAAATTACTGATTTTCCAGTTTTTCTCCCCTGCAGGCGTTGCCCTGCTCTCCAGTGAGTATCCAGAGCGGATTCTGCCCGTCCTGCTGGCACAGTACGAGCGCCCAGCACAGGGCAAGGAGGACACCATGGCTGCTGTCACCAGGATGAAGCTGGGCGAGGTGCTGATGCGTGTCACCCGGGCACTGGGTGAGTCCCTGGCCGTGGGCATGGCACTGCCCGCTGCCAGCAGCCACAGCACTGCTCGGCCTCACCATTACCGGGGGGAAAGCCCACAGGGGAATTTTGTTGTCAGAGGGTGAGAAGGGTTTGAAAGCCCAAGAGAAGCTGGCAGGGGTTTGGCAGCAGCAGGAGCAGGGTGAGGGGTCCTGCCAGCAGCCCTCCATCCCCTTGGTCGGTAGCACCAAGCTTGGAGACTGCCGGGAAGCGCCCGGACACGCCGGGCTCAGAGGTGGAAGCTGGATGATGCCTTTCTGGCATCTGCTGTTGGGACACGTCCTAAAATGCCTTGTCTGCCTCTGTGGAGGAGGCCTGGCCGGCAGAGCACACAGCTGGAGCTGTGCATGGCCAGGGAGGTGGCAGCAGTGTCCATGGTGCTGGGGCAGCCAGGCAGAGCTCCCTGGTCACTGGGTGGGCACTCTGTGCCTTGGCTGGGCATGCCCCTGGGAATGGTGATGGTGGCACGTCCAGCCCCAGGGACGGTGGCATGTCCTGCTCCAAGGATGGTGGCACATCCTGCCCCAAGGACCGTGGCATGTCCTGCCCTGGCTCTCCCCACGGTGCCCCAGGAGCTGCTCCAGCGCGTCCCAGCTCGCCGGCGTATTTATAGAATAAATTGCACCAGGTTGTTCCTGTTGCAGAGCTTCAGCACCTGAGAGCAAGGATTTATCCAGCACTTCCAGGATCCCTCCACAGCTCTCTGTGGCTCTGAGCTCTCCTGCTCTGCCAAGAACCCATCGTGCCCTGCTCCTGCCCTGTGCCCAGCCCTGTTTTCTGTCCCACTGGAGTGGCTTTCCCTATCTAGGAGGGGAAAGGAAGTGTTGCATGCCCCTTCTGTGGCTGTCTGGCACAGAGGCTGGTGCACTGCTGCCTGCGGAGGGGATCCCGCTCAGATCACCCTGCACTGCTCACACTGCTGTAATTCCATGTCCTGGGGTGCAGGCACAGAGCATGAGACATCCCCAGCAAGTCCTTGGCATCACAGGGCTGCCCTGTGCTCCCCCACCCTGTGCCAGTCCCCACTTGCAGGGTGGTGGGGTTTCCACTGCCCCAAGGATCATTCTTGTCCCCACACCCTGGGGGCATCCACCCCAGTGCCTCCATCTGCTACAGGACACCATTGTCCGAGGAGTTTCCAGAGCTTGAGAGAGCTGGAAAAACAGAATTTACAGGCCAGCTGGCCTTCTGGAGCTTTCTTTCCAGCCCTCAAGGCCCTGGCTGGTAGGAGGTGTGTCCACACCGTGGGGCTCACAGCTGCTGTGGGGTGACCACACTCCTGGGATGGTTGTGGATGCTGAGCACGGCTGTGAGCTCTCATTAGCAGCTCACACATCCACAGCACCTCTGTGTGCTAATTGGGGCAGGGGATTGAGTCTGGATGGTGTCAGAATTTGAGATTCACACTCGGTGTGTCTGCAGGACCGTGAGTGACCCCATGGGAGACTGGAATGTGCCAAAGAGCCCCAGGTTCTGTGCCACAGGGTGTGTGCTGAGGGCACAGCCACACTCCAGATGTTGCATGCAGCTGTTGAGTGGTGCTGCAAGGCAGCTGCCCCAGCCATCTGTTCCCAGAGGAGCCGTGGCAGGCAGGGTGACACGGGCTCTGCTCTCTGGCAGGGGACATGGTGTTCCGGCACCGGGAGCCGCTGATCCGCGCCTTCCTGCGGGGAGCCCGCG